GCCCTGTCCCATTTGTTAGGCAAACACTTGACCCCTGAAATACAGTCCCAGCCCTGAGCCTCTTTTTGTTGAAGCTGAATAAATCCATAACACAAAGCCACGTATAGTGGTGCACACCTGTGGGCCTGGGGGGCAGGAGGCTGAGGCAAGAGGGTCCCGAGATCTAGGGCAGTCTAAGTCCCACAGTGAGTTCAAGGACAGCCTGGACTACGTGGTGAGACCCTGTCTCAAAAGACCAAAAGAATAAGAATAAGAATAAGAATAAGAATAAGAATAAGAATAGTAGTAATAAGAAGACATAACTCCTTGATTCCTTTTTCTAACTGAGCTGAGCCTATATTTTGACCTTCAAACAGCTTATTTAAGTGAAACGAATGAACCTAAACCCCTCGTTTTTCACTCCTCAAAGCCTCCCCAAGATCTCCAGGCCTGTGATGGCCCAAGTGAACGGGGAAGTAACAGTAGTTTCAACCAAACAGAAGCCTGTCACTGTCTGCTGACAAGAGAGGCCGAGCTGTGCCCACCCCGGGTCCTGCAGCGTCACCTAGATTCCAGGTTTCTCCTGTCACCTTGATCTGCCACCCTTAGGACTTGGCCTTCATTGTTCAGATGACCTCATGGCCCAGTATGGCAGCTGGGGCTCCAGCTGCACAGGCAGGGAGAGAGGCAGGGAGAAGGGGACAGGAGAGCCATGGCTCCTCCCTGCCCTCTTACAGGAACTTCTGTGCAACCCCACTCGGGCCATGGGGGGCCAGTGTGGCGGCCAAGGGGGTCCTCTTCAGCCCAGCACGTTTTCTCCCAGGTTGAAATCTGGGCTCTGTGGTGAAGGAGGAAAATGGGGAGAGTGGGTGGGAGAGACTAGCAGCAGCTCCACCCCACAGGGTAAACAAACAAACCTGGTCTCTGTTCCTCTGTTGGGGTCAGTGCTCAGGGCCTGCAGCGCCAAGGAGAGCCAGGGCTCAGCTGTGGGGTGCTCTCCCCACAGGCCCTGCATGCCCAAAGCTGGGTGCTCGGTGAGGATGCCGCTCTGACCAGCGTCTTCTGGCCTTTCTGGGCCCCTGCTGTCCCTAATTAGACCATGTTAACTGAACACGTTGTCTTATATAAAGATGACAAGTGAATTATACTAATGAAAATATGAAAATAAAATGCTTTCTTCAACCCTGAGTATTATGTGTGTGTGTATGTGTGAAACTTCACAGTTCTCAGAAATGTATGGCCTCGAAAGCTGGGTGTGGTGGTGCATGCCTACAAGGAGGCTGAGGCAGGAGGATCACTGGGAGATCGAGGCCAGCTTGCTCTACATAGTGAGTTCAAGACCAGCCTGAACTACATAGCAAGACTTTGTCTCAAAAAAATTGAAAAAAAAAAAAATTAGCCTTTAGAGGAGAAGCCCTGGAAGTTTTAGTGTAAGAGAACAGATCAGCGAAGTAGAAAGGTAGAACGCTCATTGACATAATTACCACTCTTTGGTAATAACACGGTAGCTCCAAATCACACCAGTTCTGTGATTTATGCGTCTCTGCAACTCTGAAGCTTGGCGCCTGCCTCCTACACCCTCTGTAGAATCCTCCTCACCTGTGAGTGTAGTAACTTCCCCCCTGGCTGGTTATATTTTCGCTAGCACTCCTTTTGGGAATGACGGAGGAGGCAGAGGAGGAGGATTCTCTCCCACTGCCTAACTACTGGGAGCATGTTTTTTAGGAGAGAGGATTAGTGATAAGTGCAGCCATCTCTTCAGGGTGTATTATGCAAAACCCTTTGGAGAGCTCTCCTCAGGGTAGAGATCTTGAAGGCTAAATAAAGGAAACACGCAGCAGTAGGAGACTTCTCTTCTTTTCCACGCCAAGGACTTTTTAAACCACCCTCCAGCTTTGCCCCAGAGGTGGGGATTGAACCCAGGGCCTTGGGTGTGTGAGGCAGGCACTGTATCACTGAGCCACGTCCCACCCCAGGAGGCCCCCGTAGGCCCCTGTGCTGAGCAGGGGGTCGGGTCCTACACCCTTTCTGCCAGTCCATTGGCCTGGATTGAAAAATCTGTCACTCTGAATAGCAGGGCTCTGTGATAAAATCTGCTGATCAACTTTGGCTTCTCTTGAGTTTTATATCTGAGTGTCCTATATCTAGTAGTTTATCTACTCGTTTTGCAAAAGAGCCTTTTCAGAGTAGAGCCTGCTTAAAATTTGGGACCCTTATGGATGCTCCCAGATTCTGCAGGGAACAGAGCATTGTTTTCAGTCTAATTGAGGAATCATATCATCATATACAGTGCAGTATGAAGCACTGTCATTACTCAGGTTTGCCTAAGGTCAGTCTCACTTTGAAGAAATGAGGTGTAAGGAGAACTGGCCAGAATTAGCGGTTCGCCCTGAAGGTGGTTTTGCTGAGAGCGTCCCTCCCTTCTGCGTATGCCTGGGAACCTGCTCCAGGATGGGGCAGACACGGCCTCCTGCACTTGGGGGAGAAGAGATGATCCCAGAGGGCCTGCTCCTTTTTCAGCACAGCCTTGGCTCTGTAGGGGGACATCAGTTACCCCTGGGCTGGACTCTTAAAATCCTGCAGTCTAACCAAGACTCAAGTCCATTATGACTTCTACATGAATAGCCTGAGCAGAGAAAATAGTGCAGTAGGTCATCAAGGTCAGGGTGAACTGGCGAGAGGCTCAGCGTCCAGACTGGTGAGGAGGGGAGCGAGAAGATTTGTTGCAAAGGGAGTGAAGGCGTTGGGAATGGTGGACAGCATCGAGCTCTCTGCGTTTTCCCGGAAGATGATATCTTGAAAAAAAGGCGACCAGAACTTCAGGGAGGTGGGGCAGACTCTTCTGAGGACAAATTAGCAGTTAACAGTCACCTTTCCTATCTGTCAGTGTCCAGGCTCCATGAAAGTACAACAGGGACTGAAAGGTAGAGACGGGAGGGTTTAGAGTTGACTTCTAGTCTTAGATTTTAGTGTCAGAAGGTTAAGATGTAAAAACTTCGGAGACTTGGAAGAATGTGATTCAAAATACAAGCTGAGAGCCCCCCATGGGTCTGGAGGCACAGACAGGAGTGGATGTGATGTGGCCTTGTCCTCAGGGAGCCACAGGACCAAGTGTGACAGGCTTCCAAGATTGAACGGTGTCAGCTGAACCCTAAGGACACTTGCAGAGCCACATGCTAATGTTGAGCATGGAAGGTCTACAGTGACAGGACTGCCTTTCTTCTCCCTACTATGGTGGTATGGCCCACACTCCCAAAATACCCTCGTATTATCCATTTTCCTGCTGCATTGCCCCAGTACCTGCCCTGACTTTTCTCTTGCTGAGCTCTGCTCTACCGCATACTTGCCTTCCCAGAGAGCTAATTATAAGCCTCTATTTTAGTGCCTACTTACGGCGAAAGCTTGTGTCAAAAGCAGCGCATACCTACAGAGAAACGGAAAAGGGTATAATTTTTAAATGGTGATGAGACAGGGCTCTTAGATATGCACCACTGGCTGAGTGATGGTTCAGGGAAGTTGAAATCCATCCGGTCAGGCCAGAGCAGGCCAAGCAGGTGCCCAATAAATGTTTATTGGCGATGACAATGACCTCGCACAAGTTTGTTTGAGGCATTCACTATTTATATGAATAGGCAGAGAAACTGCTATCATCACTTGGGCCACTGCACCGTGGCACCCCAGATTTACACCGCTTTTCTCTCTTCAGGAGGAATGTTTCCGATGTGACTGTGGTTTGGAATGTTTGAGCGTTGGGTCTGTGTAGAGTTGTATGAAGTTTGAGATTTTTAGTTATAGGCTTTCTTGTCAATGCTACAGTCTCTTTCTGACCTTCAGCCTTTGAGCCAGTTCTGATTGCAGGGATGTTATCACTTTCTCTTCCATACCTCACGGATATGAGGAAGACAGGGAGGAAGGCAGAAGTAGGAACAGTGTGAGTGTCTATTTATCTGCACCTTTAATTGGGAAGCAGAATATCAGCCCTTCCAAACTGCCATCTAGTCACGGTCTTGGGGTCTGTATGAATGCCCACCCTCTAAATGTAAAACAAGCACAAACTCTGAACACGTACAGAACTTTCAGGGGATTTTATGCTACAGACAGAAATATCTGCAGGACTGGGAAAAGTCCCCGGGCCTTTCAGAGACCCTAGTTTGCATGGATCATACAGCCCTGTATTGCTGGCAACTGCCTTTCTGTCCGTCATCCATCTTGAAGCTGGGTTGAACGTTTCATCATATTGGCAAGCAGGGGAATGTTTTACCTGCTTGACTAGTTCTCACTATTTTATTCAGGTTTCAGTCAAATGCTTCTACACCCTGCTGGGTGTGGGAGGCTGTGACTCAGGGGGAGAGGAGGTATCACTCTGTGTGCACATCCTGGCTGTTGCAAGGGTCCAAGGACTCCCTCATTTGGGCTGGGGGCCATCTTGCTCTTGTTCCTCCCCTCGTACTCTGTGTGTGGACATATGCTTGGCTACTCGTGCCTAAGAAAACTAGTCAGTTGAGTATTCAAATAGTAAATTAATTCTTCTTTGCTCAAGTGGTCCAAGCAAGTTTTTACTAGAAATGTACACTGGTGCCTGAGGAAAGTGGGGGTAGGAAGAAGAAAGCTTGAGTTTAAAAGGCAAAGGAAACTGGGAAATAGTCTTAAAATGTTGAATTATGAGTTTGGTGATATGTTTCCATTGTCCACAATCTTTGTGCTCTGCACAGGAGTGGACCAAGAAAATATCTTTGGTTGTTTTTTTTTTTTGGTACTAGGAATCGAATTCAGGGCTTTGCATCTGATAGGCAGGTGCTGTGCCGCTAAGCTACATTCCTAGCCCCAAGAAAATATCTTAATGAGAATAAACTTGAATTCATCTGTTTGTTCCAAGAAGTTGACTTTTTCCTGCCTGGCTCGCTCAAGCTCGGAGAGGGCCTTTGACCATGAGATCTGACTCATGAGTCACAATGTGCTTCTCACACCTCCTGCCCCGCCCGGGTACAGCCTGGTGTTTGCCAAGGCTTTAGTGCTGAGCGAGTGCTAAGCAGGGGTGGGGAGGAAGCAGCTGACCAGGCCCTGCAGTCAATGACCAGTGAAGCTTGTCAGAGGGCACCCCTGGGTTACCCCTCACTCTCAGAGGCTTAGTAGTTGAGCAAGAGTTACACCCAAGAGTGTTTAAATCAGGCATTCTAGGTAGCTGGTCCCAAAGGCAACTGTATACCAGAACCTCAGGGGCAGCAGAGAAGTTGCTTAAAAACAGTTTCAGGACCAGAGGGTTTCATTGGTGTCTTCTCATAAACATGTAAAGAAGAATTAACACCAAATCCTTCTTATTTGTCCAAAGGATTCAAATAAGAGGAAATATTTTCTTAACTCATCCCAGGAGACCAGACTTACCCTGATATGGAGGCCCAAAAAAGACACCGCAAGAAAAGCAAACTACAGATCACTACCTGCTGCAAACACAGAGGCAAAAGTCCTCAACAGGATACCAGCAAATCAAACTCGGCAGTGTGGTAAGTGGATTACATACCATGACCAAGTGGGATTCATTCCTGAAAGGCAAGGATGGTTTAATATATGAAAATCAATCAGTATAGTGTCAAATATCCCATTAATAGCATCCAGGGGAAAATCATGTGATCACTTCAGTTGATACAACTTTTTATGATACAAAACACTCTGAGCTAGGAGTAGAGGGAAATTTCCTCACACAGTAAAGATCATGTATGAAAACCTCCCAGCTAACATTACTCAATGGTGAGAGACTAAAAACTTTGATAAGATCAGCAGTAATAGGGGCTGGGGATTTAGCTCAGTGGTTCCAGTGCCTGCTTTGTAAGTGCAAGGTCCCAAGTTTGATCCCCGGTACCAAAAAAAATCACCAAAAACCAAAAAACCCCCAAAACAGCAGCATGACAAGATGCCTGGTTTCACCAACATAGTATTGGCAGTACCACAAGTAGGCAATAAAAAGAAAATAAGTATTATTTCTGTTCAGAGATGACATGATCTTATATGTAGATAACTCTAAAGATTCCACACATTAAAAATAAGAAAAAAGAAAAGAGAAGAACTAGAAGCCATATGCAATAGTAGACACCTATGATCCCAGCACTCAGGGAGGATTGAAAGTTTGAGTCCCACTTGGGGAACTTAGTGAGACCCTGACTCAAAAAAAAAAATAAAAAAAGTAGCTGAAGGTGTCACTCAATTGTAGAGCACTGCTGGGTTCAGTCCCTAGTACTGCACCAAAAACCAAGCCAAACCAAAGTCAAACAAATAAGCAAAACCCAAAAAAGAGCTAAAAGTGGATTCAGCAAAGTTGCAGGCTCTAAAATGAATACACAAAATAAGTTTCATTTCTACATATTAGCAGTGAGAAATCTCAAAGGGAAATTAAGAAAATTGTTCTTAACACCTAGGAATAAATTTAACTGAGGAGGCTAAATACGTCTACCCTGAAGACTACTAAACACTACTGAAAGAAATTAAAGATGATATAAACAAAGGAAAAGATATTCTCTGTGTGGATTGGATGATTTAATATTGTTAAGATGAAAATACTACCCCCCAAAAGAAAATACTACCTAAACCAAACTGCATATTCAATAAAATCTTTATCAAAATTGTGGTGGCATTTTTTCCTTCAGAAATACAAAAACCCACTCTAAAATTTATAAAGAATCTTAAAGCATCCTAAATGACCAAAATAATCTTGAGAAAGAACAAAATTGGAGGTCTCACACTTCTGATTTCAAGACTTACAGCAAAGCCATTAGAATGGCTATTATAAAACAAAAACAGAAAATAACAAGTGTTGGTGAAGGGAGATGAGGAGGAGCTAGAACCCTTGTGCGTTGCTGATGCGGATATAAAATGGTGAAGTGGCTATAGAATACAGTTTGGTATTTCCTCAAAAAGTTAAACATAACATTGCCATATAATCCAGCAACTCTCCTAGGCATATAAAAAAATTGAAAATGGGGACTCAGACAGGGTATAATATAACAGTGTTTATAGCAGCATTAGTCACAATGGCCAAAGGGTAGAAACCACCCAGTGGATGGATGGATTAAATACTTACAATAAAAAAGAAATGAAATTCCTGATACATGTGATGACATGGAGGAACTGAAAATATTTTATGACAAGTGAAATAAGCCAGGCAAAAAGAACAAATAAGATGAATCCACTTGTATGAAGTACCTAAGATTGGCAAGTTCATAGAGACGAAAAGTAAAATAGGCCTTACCAGGGACTGGGAGCAGGAGAAAAGGGAGTTATTGCTTAACTGGAATAATGTTTCTGTTTGAGGGTGATGAAGTTCTGCAAGTAGATAATGGCCATAAATGCACCTCAATGCAAATATACTACATAATGCCACTGGGCCATATACTTAAAACTGGTTACATTGCTAAATTTTATATCATGTGAATTTTGCCATAGTAAAATTCTTTTAAAAAACACATTCCATCTGGGTATGGTTGCGCTCACCTGTACTCTCAGCACTTGGGAAGGCTGAGGCAGGAGGATCTCAAGGTTGAGCCCAGCCTGGGCAATTTAGCTACGTAGGGAGACCTTGTTTCAAAAATACAAAATAAAAAAGGGCTGGTGATGTCGTTCAGTGTGAAGTCTCTGGGGTACCCAGAAGTCGCAACCCAAACCAACATATTTCAGGCTCTCACCCTTAGAACTGATGGGCCGCAGCAATATGGGGTAGGAACCTGGAATCTGTAATTTAAAAACATGCCTCCCTATTTTTCTCAGGCAGAGCCAGGTACAGAAATGAGCTTTAGTCAGTCTGGGAACCATTGCTCCAGTCACCAGCTATTTAAAAATATTACAGTGATACACACACACACACTCATGTTCATAGCAGCACAATTCACACACAGTCTTGGAATTCAGCATAATCTTGGAAGCAGCCTGTGTGACTGGATAAAGAAAATGTGGGATTTATATACAATGGAGTACTACTTTGCCATAAAGAAAGATAAACTTGAGGAATCTGTAGGTAAACGGTCGCACCTTGAGACCATAATGTTAAGTGAAATAAACAGCACACAAACTTAAATATTGCATGGTTTCTCTTATATAAGAAACCCAAACTAAATAAAGAGCAAAATAAATAGGAAGTAAGGAGATGGGTCTTTCTCAAACGGAAAGAGGATCAAGAGAAAGGAGGGAAGAGAAAGGGGGTAAAAGGAGTTATGTGTTCTGTACATGATGTCTCCACGCAAGGAACGTAAACATTACGGACCACAAATATGGACTATTAAAAAAATGGTAAAAAAAGAAAAGGGAATTGTCCCTACTGTTTCTTTGGTTTGTCCACTAAAAAACTGAAACGACCTATCCTGCCTGCAGTTCGCAGGAGCCTGGAGCAAGAAAATGGCAGAGTGGAAGCTGCGTGCACGGAGCCGTGACTTCCGGGCTGCGAGGCTCAGCTGGGCCGGGAGGAAGGGACAGGCAGGCCGGCCTCACCGCTGCAGAGGGCAGGCCGTCGTCCGGGGCTCCCCGCCGACCTGCAGCAGCCCTTTCTGGGGGAGCCTCGGCGTTCCAGGCAGCTGTGGCCAGGCCTGAGTCAGTGGGAGCCCCGGGCCGCCCCGCCCTGGGGCGGATTAGCTAATTATTAAAAAGTGCTCCGGCAGCACAAAGGGCAGGAGGACGCGCCGCCCTGCTCCGCCTGCTGGGAGCTGGCACTGACCGGAGGGAGCTCGGCAGGAGGGGACAGACCGAGCCGCCCCTTCCCGACACGCGGGCTGCCCCTGGGCGTGGACTTTTGCGCCCAGCCTCTCCGGGAGAAGCCAACTTTACTTTGTGGTTAGACTGTAAGGTCTTTAGGTAAATGAGCTGCGACAGATTTTATTTTTGTTTGGTCCATGCTAACATTTTTTGGGGGGCGGGGAGTGGCTGGTTTTTAATGTTTATGTTCAGGTCGTTTGTACATAAACAAGATCACACAGCATGTTGTTTTCAGGCTGAGTTTTAAAAAACTTAATACACCTTTCTGTGTAGGTGCAAAAGAGCGTCTCTCCATTTCATTTATGTACCCACTGTTTCTAGCGAAAGACAGGAGGACTAATGCTGCAATGAACATTCTCTTTTGCTGAGTCTCTGTACAGAGTTCTGGAAGGCCTGAAGCTCACTATGCAGCCCGGGATGGCCTCAAAGTCCTGGCAGTCCTCCTGGCTCCGCCTCCACGGACATGGGCCACTACATTCAGCTGCAGTGAACATTCTTACACACAAATTTATGTGCACAGGTGTGTGCAGAGCGTTTCTGAAGGGTGTATTTCTAAAAGTGGAGTTTCTGGATAGAAGAGAATATACAGTTATATTTTTATTTTGAGACAGAGTCTTGCTATGTAGTTCAGGCTGGTCTTGAACACAGGCTGGCCTTGAACTCACAGCGATCCTCCTGCCTCAGCCTCCCGAGTGCTGGGGTTACAAGTGTGCACCACCACGCCAAGCTACAGTTCAATTTTTAATGAACAATGCCAAGTTTCTCTCCAAAAATTCTGTTCTAATTTATATAGTCACCATTATACTCATCAGCACTGGACATTGTCATTTTAAAAATATGTATACTGCCAGCATCATATGCAGAAAAAAAAACTGTGTCATTTTAAATTGCATTGTCCTGATTTACCCGTGGGGCTCTGCATCTTCTATGTCTATTGATTACTTGGGTCTTTGGGGAAGCTTTTTCTTGAGGCATAAAAACACAGAGAAAATATAAAAAAGCACTAACGCACTGCTCAATAAATTAATTACTCTTCCTCAGGTGAATTCTTCATAATAACTACCACCCAGATCAAGAAAGACAATATCAGACCTTTTCCTGCCTCTCCAAAGTAATCACTATCCTGACATCTGACCCCTGCAGTTTAGTCATGTCTGTTTTTGGCCTTTATAGAAGTGGAATCATGTAAATGTGGATTGCATCTGGCTTCCTTCATTCAACGTAACATTTCTGAGTCATTCATACACTTGTGTGTAGCTGTAATATATTCGTTTGCATTGCTTATTATATCCCATTATGTGAACAGGTCACCAGCTATTAACTGATGGACATCTGGGTTGTTTCCAGCTTTGAGCTATTAACTGATAATGTTGCTTGATTCTTGTGCATGCATTTAGTACGCATGTGTGTGTTTAGTATTTCTGTTGTGTATAGATTTGCAGGTCAGGAGCCATGCTCTTTCAACTTCACCAACTGGTATTTGTGAATCCTCTATGAATATAGTATTCTTTGCACATTTATTGTTGAGGGGCTTGAGTTTTACTGTTGATTTGCGTGTGTTCTATTTACTCTGGGTATGAATTCTGATGTATTTGCTGGAAATATTTCCTCTCAGTCTTTGTTTACAGCTTTTATTTCACAGAGTTTAAAATTTCTATGTGGTTAAGTCTGTAACTTATTTTCCATTGCTTTCTGGGTTTTATATCTTGCTATCTCAAATTATAAAATATTCTCTTATGTTTCCTTCCAGCATTCATTTTATTATGATTTTCACATTAGGATTTCTAATTAGTTTGGAATCTATTTGTGAAGATGAGCAGCAGCCTAATTAATTATCTAACACTCAGGGGATAAATAAAATTAAACCATTTGCTACATAGACCTTTTAATATTTATTTTAAAAATCTCAAGATAGATAACAACATCAAAGAGCTAAGAAACTGTCAAATTTCTTTATTTTTTTTTACTTTAGAATAGTCTCCCCTAAATTAAGCTTAAGTTAGATTCCAAATGACTCAAATGTCCCAGTTTAGTCCAAACGACTCAAATACTGAGCATATGAATACTCAGTGGCTATTTATTCACTTAGGATGGGCTTATGGACTTTAAAGTGTAGGTCTTGTGGATTTCTGGGTCTGATAGGACCCTCAGGGATGCCTGGCTACAGGGCATCTCTTCTCAGGTCTGGGAAACTACAGCAGCCTTTCACCTCCCAGAGCTCCAGCTGTCTTTCATCCACGTGGAAGGGCCTCATTCTCATGCCGAGCCGCAGGACAGAGACGTGCTGGGTCAGCTTTGGTCAAAGACATGACTTTCTCAGGCAAGGCTGCCCACTTGAGGGAAAAGACTATTGGCCAGTTGGGAGATCGGTGGGTGAGTCAGGAAAGGAAGGGGCGTGTTTGAGCCCAGTGGATTTTCCCCTTTATAGGGAATAGGCCACACCCAGCCACCCCCATTCATTGGCAGTGCTCAGCGTGTCTCTGTGCCCTGACTCCTACCTCACTGCTTGCGGTGTGGGGTGGTTTTCTTCTGTTCACCCCCTTCCTCTTCCCTACATGCTTCTGGTGAAGGCAGGTGTCTTGTTATTTTAGTTAGCAGGTTGTAGACCTACAGCTTCTGTTAGGTTGAGGAGAAGACACATCCTGCTCAGCTCGACAGAGAGCTCAGTGGAGGCTGAATGTGCAAGTGTTGGAGCTGCTTTTCTTGGAAATTGCTCTCCTGGCTGGGCTCCAGATATATAATCAAAGTGGCCTGAAATCACAAGTTCTGCTGCTTGCATTCTTAGCTTCACATTTGAAGAATTTGGCTGGTGCTTGTTCTGAAAGCCTGGATTCTCTACTGTTTGTTGCACATGACTGTGTGTGTGTGTGCATGTGTGTGCACATGCTCCAGCGTGTGCTGTGTGGTACACAGGGTTGTCTGCACAGGCATGTCTTCCAGCTGCATTGTTTTTACCTGCCGGGAGGCTGTGATTAAAGAGCATGGTGTACTGCAAATTTTCTTTGATTTCAAGGATTCTTGAAATTTGTGGTTTCATGTGTTGGAGAAACGTGCTAGAGAACCCTGCATGTAAGTGTGTAACTGACCTGTTGGGCACAGGAGCGCTGCCTTCTTGCAGGATTCTATCTCCAGAGATATCTGAGGCTAATCTGCTGAGAAGTCAGTGTACCATTTGGGGGGCCAGGGGCAGGTGTAGGTGACCAGGCACTGGGGGAAGTGAAGACCTGGGCTTTGAGGAAGTCAAGATTGAAGTCATCAAGGCAGTTATTTATATCTGAGCAGTGCGCATCGAAAGCCAAAGCCTTTCATTCTACCACTGTCACAAAACTGGTTTACTGTAGAGAAAGGGCTTGTATTTTGCCTTGTGAACTATCTACTAGACTCAGAACTTCTCGTGTGGTTCAAGTTTCTGGTAATGTGGACCCAGACTCTGTCATGGAAAACTGGGTGCTCACGCACTCCTCCCTCGGCCTCCTTTGTGGGCAAAATGGCTCACATCTGGTTGGTGGCCTGTGACTTGATTTTTGCTTCCTTTCCCAAGAAACCACCCCTATGTGAGCAACCCCCAACACAGGGTGTGTATGTGTGTGTGTGTGTGTGTGTGTGTGTGAGAGAGCTTCAAATTATCTCAGCTCAAAATGAGGACATGAGACTCTAATAACCTTGAAAGAAATGCAGTAGGAACTCTTAGATCCACTGTCATGATAAATGAAGTCTCCTATAACCAGCTTCCATCTTTATAGCACCAGTTCTAATGGCCACCCCCCGCCTTTGGTTATGGGAAATGAGTGTGTCTTGGGACAAACTTGTCACGTGCTCGATTCAGCAGCACATATACTAAAATTGGGACAAACATGTCAGAATTATGAGGGAGAAAGTTGGCAGTGAAACAAACTATGGGCTATGCTTGACAGGAGCTGAGAAACAATACGTCTCAGATTCCTATCAGCCCTCGGTTTCTGGCCCAGAATTATGACTCAGAAGCCACAGGAAGGGAAGAACCGCCACAGCTCCTGAGAGTCGTCACTGAGAAGCCAACAGAGGCCATTTTGCCCAGAGAGTGGAGGAGTCTGCAGTCCCCAGCCCCTGCTTCAGCGGATATTGAAAAGAAAGAACTTGTGGCCTTAATTATGAGACCAGGAGGTAGATGTCCAAAAAGCAGAATCCCCATCATGAGAGCGGGAAGGAAAGATGAGGTGGCGGGAAACATGAGCACATCTGCATAAACGTTTAGATTTTCCTGGATTTGCTTGGTCCCAATCTTTGGGAGTTTGCCTCTTACAAGAGTAAACACGTTTTAATAGTGAGCAAATATTAGTCCTCATAATTAAAACCTGTTGAGCTGAGCAGGAAACATTCAAGGGAAAGCTGCAGGTGCCCTTGAGCAGGGTGAAGCTGGGAGGATCTCGAGGACGTGTGGGCTCCTTCTCCCCCAAGGGGAGCGGCCTGGCACGGAGCCACAAGGACAGGAGAGAAAACAGATGGCTCACAAAAAGTATGAGCAGCACAGAAAGGTCCTGAGCTTTATTTTTTTTGGAGGTTTGGATTCTGAGCTTATTAAGGTGTCGGCCCTGGGAAGAGTGTGAAAGACAGCTGAGATTCTTGCATTTTTGTTTATTGAAGGGAGGGAGCCATCTCACTACTCAATCTCTCTTTCTTCCCTCCGAAATTCATTCAGGGGATGACACTGCTAAGACTACGGCCATCTTAGGATCCATCTGGGAGGGGTCTGTTCTCAGCTCCACATTTCACCACATGAAATAAAGAAAGCAAGCTCCTAAATGACTTCAGAAAGAAAAGCCAGCCTACTTTCTGAAGTCCAGTTTTGCACTGTGATGGCTTTCCCGCCCGAGGGAGGCGTGTGATTCCTTCCCTCCTCAGCCCCTGCACTCGCCTCATTTCCAGGCCTGGTCACTCAAGGACCAGCCTGCAGCCCTTGGCCTAGGGTTCTCGGTGATGAGTGGGAGGCAAGCCCAGCTCTGGCTCAGTCTTAAGTTCCTTCCTCACCAGACTGGAGACGAGTGGGTGTATGACTCACCCTAATGCATAGCAAGACATGAGCCAGGCTGTGAGAGAAAAAGAAACAACATGCTGATGGAAAATTAATCTCATTAGGGAGATCTGTTTGTGGTGACATTTGAAACGAGCCTGTTTTGTCACCATAGAGGGAGAACCTGAGAGATTCCCGAATGCTTCATTTGTGCAGCTTGTTCCAGTTGTGCCTAAAACTGTATGCTTGAACATTTTAGTCATTCAAGCCAACAAATGCACTTATTTTACTTTATTACTATTTGTTTGCTGGTGGTGGACATGGAACCCAGGGGTGCTCTACCACCGAGCTCCATCCCCAGCCATTTTTATTTTGAGAACAAGGTCTCACTAAGTTACCCAGACTGGCCTCAAACATGGGCTCTTCCAAGCATGGGCCACTGCATCTTGCTTTTTCAATAAGTCATTTTGTGATATGTTTGTGCTTTTACACACACACACACACACACACACACACACGCACACACACACATATCCTAATCAATACAGCAATCTTCAATAATTGCTGTGACAACAAAGCTATGGTGAATGAGAGGGGCTGCAGAGTCACAGGACATATTTGTAGGTAAAGACTTCTGCTAACCCTTCTGGGTCAGCCTCCTTGGCTCTGTGACTAAGACCTTAGGGCTTTACTCTTAAGCTCTCTGGAATGAGGTGTTTCACTGATCTGGTTGACTGGACCTCACTGGATACTATTCCATGAATCAGAAATGAAATATGCAGCACTGTAGCCACAAAGGAATGAAAACAGCTCATTTTCCTTTTGTGTCTCTCCAGGATTTCCTTTCTCTGTGTCACACATTAAAAGTGGAGAATCATAATGATAATCCCATTTGGATTTATGAACAGTTGAATAGACTATTGAAAAGATGCCTTAATCAAGAAATAAATTCACTACAGAATTGCATTCAGGGTGGGACAACTACCTTTACCCATGGATTTTCTATCGCTTCAGGGAAAACTCTTCGATGTTTGAATTAAGCACCACATCTGGAAACAAAAGAAAACGATTACTTTCACTAAGTGCTATCTATGTCTCTAGGACTATGGACAAAATTTGCTTACATTCTGTCAAAATTCCATCCACTTTTGAAGGTAAGTCCTCGGCCCATTTTTATAGGTGGAGAAGGAGGTAGATACAACCAGTTATTACCCAGCAAGGCAACTGCCAGTGATGCTCCTACAGATTTGGGTCCCCCTGTGGGACATATGGCTCTGGCCAGTGAGCCTTGAGGGGTAGTCTTCTGGAGAACTGCCTTCCAAGTATGGGCACTGCCCCTCCATCTTTGTTCTCTCCCTTTGCTTGCTGGGAACCTGGTGGCAAAGTGGCCTGGAGACACCTACAAAGAGGAAAGCCCCATTCTGAGGGAGTGGACAGGAAGACAGAAAGAACTGGGATCCTGCTGGCATAGTAAAGCCACTGCACCTCCTTGGGGCACCTTCACACTGTAAGAAATAAGAAATAAGCTATCATTTGATTAATTTGGTGAGGCTGGGTTTCTGGAGCAAACAATTGAATGCTGCCTCAATGAATGCAGGGAACCCGAGCTGGAGTTTGAGTGACTTGTTTCCATATAAAGTGATGCCTCAAAGCCGAATAAGACATAGTATCCACCCTTAAAGACTCCATAGCTGAGTTCTAGGCAGTTATATAAAGAAACAATTGTAACAATGTTAGTACAATGATAGTGATTTGCACAGGGTTTCATGTGTGCCTAAGGAGGGGAAAAAATAAAAAGAAGTGAGGCGAAAGTAGAACTGAAGTTAGGCAGGCAAGAACCAGAGGTGGGAAAGGAGATGATAGCTTGAGTCAGTGTAAGGAAGTGAGACAGTGTAGCACACGCAGGGGCCCCTGGGCAGGTCTGAGTTGTTGAAGCATGAAGTAGAAGGTAGGCAGTGGTGGGGGACGCATCTGGGAACACCTTTCATTTAGCTATTGCTACAGAATAAGCCACCTCCAAAACTGCACTCAAAATAACTACATTTTATTATTTCCCAGAATTCTACAATCTGAGCTGAGGGCAGCCAAATGGCTCTGTTCATACAGTATCTGTTGGAGTTGAAGCTCCCAAGAACACTTTACTTTCATATTCGGTGCCTCCCACTGGGATAACAGGAACAGCTGACTGCCTGGCACCTCTGTCTCCAGGCAGCCTCTCTGTGTGGACAGCTCAGGCTTCTTCATAGCAGGGTGATCTCAAGGTAGTTGAGTTTTAAAATGGTGGATGGCTTCCAGGTGAGAGAAAGAGGATGTTGCCAGTGCATTTAAGGTCTGGGCTGAGAAGTACCAAAAACATCGATTCCTCTGAGTTCCACTTCCAACCTGTACTCTGTTGGTCAAAGCAGGTTACAGGCCAGGCTGGAGTCAAGGGAGAAGAAATAGCGTCTACTTCTTGGTGGGAAGACCAGTATGCACATATAGGGAGAGAAGAATCAGCACTGGCCTTCTTTGGAGTCTCTCTGAGAAGGGGGAAGATGAAGGATGACACGGTCTGCTTGTCAGGTAGGATGGTATGAAACCCTGCTGCAGAGGTTAGGAAGGATCTAGAAGACATGGTATAGACTCCAGAGCCTTCTAACTCTCCCATCCCTGATCACAAGGTCACAAAAGACAACACCTTAACCATCCAACAACTTCCCATCCACCATATTGAAGAACAGGAAGAGGCCAGAGAGCTAACTGGAGAGCCTGGGAATGGGTCTTCATGGCAATCCCTGGACAGCACTGCAATTTACTCCACAAGAAAGGCTCCAGGAAGGGCTGGAAAGTTGTAACAAAATAAAGAAGTTGTATTAGGTAAAATTAAAAGAAGTTAGAATAATGGCACATTCAGGGATGGTGGTTACCTCTCCAGGAGAGAAGGGGATGTGGAGTCCACAGGGAGCCTCGCCATTCAGCTAAGCTTTTATTTCTAAAGTTAGGGGTTGGATGCATAGGTGTTGTTGTATTCTTTGTGCCTTTTTGTGTGTTAAAAATAGTTCCTAATGTAACTGTTAAAAGTAGTCATTTCTGAATAGATTTGTGGGTCCCCAATGCCAAGTTTAGGTCATGACATATTGTATGGGAGTGGGGACATAGAGCAAGGCTTGAAAGAGGACTTAGATTTACTTGTTAGGAGAGTCACCTGGTTGGCTTTGGACAGGACAAGAGCAGAGACAGGGAAACCAGTAAGGGGGCTGCCACATATGTCCAGTGGGGGGTGACAGTGGTCTGGCTGCCCTGCTGTGGTTGGGTGGGTTCAGAAGCAAAGTTGGGGGGCTGGGCACTTTCCAAGATGTGGGGGGTGTGGGCAAGGCTTCTGGTTGAGTGAGGGGATGGGTGGAGACCCCCATTCCCCATGACTGAGGCCAGAGAACCCAGGTGGAGGGTGTGTGCAGGGGGAAGAGTTCAATGAGGGCAGGTTGACCGATGTGTCAGGGGTGCATGAGTGTGAACTCCAGGAACAAGTCTTGCAGACCTTAGCACTAATGCAAACTGAAGCTGCAGGAGGTGAGGTACCTAAGGGAGAGTGGGTTGGAGAGCACAAAAGAGAACCAAGGACTTCCCGGGGGGCAGCAGCCTCTCAGTCTGAGGAGGGAAGCCCTCAGTTATTTTTCAGACACCACTCACACTCCACAGAGTCCCTCCCGCCCCATCTCTGTGGAAGGCAGTCCTCTCTCACAGACCTGACTGAAGTCCCTGCTGGGAGGCAGGAGGCCCAGTCACGCCTAGGCCTCTCCCCTTAAGGTCAGCCCTGATGAAGGCCCTCTCCCAGTGTGAGCCGTGGTCTCCCAGGTCTGAGCCAGCTTCCCCCGGGAGAATCCTGTGTTAAGAGACAAGGACAGCCAGAGGGTCGGAGCTGCTGAGGGGCAGTCAGGGACACGTGGGTGCCTTGCTTCCTTGGCCACTGGGTGCTCCCCTCCTGCCTGTAGCGCACCTTTCCAAGGTGACTGTCTTTCCCCTTCGCATTCTGGTGGCCCTGGCACAGTGCTTTATGTTTGGATTTCCAAACTCTGGGCTCATTGGAAAACTTGCAGCCCCTCACTGGCCCTCTGTTAGCATTTCTCTCCCCTCATCCCCTTCCTCTTTGAAGAAGGAATATGGTATTATTTCCTACGGGGTGGTTTGCTGGCAGTAACAGGAAGATACAGAAGCTGGTCAGAGCAGTGTTGGTGGGTGGTGAGCTTGGAGGAGGAAGTGTACTGAAAAGGGATTCTACCCTGGATGGCCCCTTCTCTTTGGTCCCTTCCCTTGCTGTTGTAATAAATTTGTGTACCACCTGGGCACCCTCCCTTCTACCCTGATGCTGTCTCCTTGAACCAGAGATCTTTTTGTTTCTTAAAACTTGAGTTCTGAATTAAAATTTAGATTCTGCCTTGGACAGATACTTCTCTGAGCTCTCAGGAAAAAGTTTTCTGCCCTTCACTGGAATTAAGGGAATTTTGGGGAAAAACCAAAGCAATAATGTTGTATTTCAGAAATATGAATCTTTCAAAGCATTTCTCCAAAAAAGCAGATTTCAATTATGATAGGAAAATGGGTCGGTGGGGATATTACAGGGGTTTGGTTTGCCTAAAAACAACTCTGTAGACAAGAGGAATATAGCTATGCAATAAGATAAGAAAGGAAAATTCTCATAGAGAAAACATTTTAATGAATCACTCCAAACCGTCGTAGCATCTACTCTAAGATCTCAAAATTGCTTCCAGGGTGATTCACTTATCATACTTTGGAACTCAGCAGCATAAACAGTGGCCTTCTGGTATAAAATACATGCCAAGGCGAGCAGGCGCACACAGACAGGCACTACGCATGCGCTCCGTCTCTCCACCAATCGCGGGGCTTCCGCAGCCGGGGACCTCACAAGGCCAGAAGTACCTTCCTGTGCCCCTTCCCCGGCTGTGAGCGCAAGCCATCCGAGGACATCCGAGGACATCCGAGCCATCGAGGCAGCAGGCCTGCCCTGCCCTTTCCCGGGCTCCTCTGGCACCCTGCCCACCGCTCCTGTTTCTGGTTTCCTTCGCTTGAGCATCTGATGGGACTTGATGCATCCTCTGGCTCGAGGCTTGTTCTGGGTGGCAGCCCAGCTTCAGCCTGTCCATGTCTGAGCCGGGGCAGCCCGGGAAGACTGGGGAAGGGTTTCGTACTGAAGTCCAGGAGCCAAGTTCCCCAGGACATGTATTTGAATGATATTTGGGGTCTTCTGGAAAGAAGGGTTAATTTAGAGAAAAATTCAGGCATTGGAGCCAGTGTCCTGCCCCGTGTGCACCCCACTGTCCCTCCCACCCAAGGCCGCCGGTGATACTTGGGTGATACTTTGGCTCCATAGATACAAATGGCACCTCCTCTCCCCTGCAGTCAAATTGAGCCACTTGTATGAAACGTAGAAGAAAACTGCACACAGGGTTTCTGCATGTCCCGTTGACTAACACAAGAACCCTTGTTCTGGTAATGCCACTTGCAGGAGTCTCGCCAGGAAAAGCCTGGGATAAAAATAATGGCAGCCGTCATGCACGGGTGTTCACCCGATTCTCACCCCAACCCTCCAGAGCCCTCCTGTCGTCTGTCGTCTGTCCCCGAGGCTGGCCTCGGGGACGGGTCTGGGCCCTCTGGGCCGCGGACCTTGTGTCCTGGGAGGGAGGAAAGTGACCTTGGGGTGAGTGGCACTGCATGGCAGTGCCAGCCGGGCCTCCCACCTGCCCACGTCCCTCTGGAGCCCTTCCCTCCTCACAGGCCACCCCGTCTCACCTATCCATGTTCTCACGCTTTGGCATTTCCTAGTATAGCCCTGGAAATACCCTCCTGCCCCTCTTGTCACAGAGTATCCAAAATGCAGCCTGGGGTCCTGCCTGGAACCCCTTACCTGGGGGCTCTTCGGAGGAGTCAGACGTCCTGCTCCACAGGGAGAGAAGGCGCCGGTGTGTAAGATGTGTAAGAGTCCTAAACTGGGACCTTGTGGTCCGGTCCCAGTGGCACAGCAACCAGCAGTGTTGGAGCCACAGTGGGATTTCTGAGGAAGGGAGTGACCGGAAGGATGGTGGCAGATTGGGCGAGGCAGCTATCTATAATCCGGGATACTTAAGAGGCTGAGGCAGGAGGGTGGCAATTTCAAAGCCAGCCTGAGCAATTTAAGAAAAATTGGAGTGAGGGTGTGTGTCTGTTGGGGAAGTAGAGTGCTTGTCATTACACACACATACACACACACGCGCACACACACGCAGATGGTGGGAAAATTTGTTTGGCGGATGTGGAATCGCTGAAGAGGGTCCCATCTGAGAGATTTGTGGGAGTTACGAGGCGGGGAGCTCCAGCGCTGACCCGGAATGCCCACCTGGGGTCCTTTCAGAGAGACCCCAGACACTCAGTATCCTTCCCTGTCCTGTTTTCCTCAGACACAGACTTTAGTCTCGGGGAAAATATTCGAAACCTGAACTTTCAGGGCCAGAATGCGTAGTCGTGTATGAAGAGGGTCACATGGAAGCGATAACTACTGCACAGACTATTTTAACTGCTGAATCCGAAATCTCCGTGCTGCATTATGAAATATGCAGGAAGGGAAGTAAACAGATGACAGGAGTGGAAGAAATCCTAAAGTAATATTTTCACAAACAGATGCTGGCCCACAACACACCTTGGGGGCCAGGGAAGCTCCAGGGATGCGCACCTCGGAGGGTGGAAGAATTGGAATAAAACTGCCAAGCAAGAGCTCGTCCTGGGGATCCTGGTCAGAGCCCCTGACCGCCCAGCCACGGCCGTTCGCGCAGCCCCGGGTTAGAGAAACCCACAGACAATCATTTGAAATCACTTCTATCTTCTCTTCCAAATACAGACAAGTCCTGCCTTTTCAGTTTTGTTTCATAGATGTTTTTATTGTGGTAAAATATAAATATCATAAAAATTACCATTGTAACCATGTGTTTTTTTTTGGTACCAGGGATCGAACTTGGGTCCTTGCGCTTGCGAGGCAGGCGACGGAGCCACTGAGCTAAATCCCCGGCCCTGTAAACATTTTTAAGTGTGTAATTCAGCAGCATTCAGTACATTCTCAGTGTCGTGCAACCATCACCATTTCCAGGATTTTTTTGCAATCCCAAAAGGAAACTATTCAATGACAAATAACTCCTTTTCCTCTCATCCCTTCACTTGTGATAGAACCATTCTACTTTTTGTCTCTGTGAATTTGCCTGCTCCAGACATTTCATTTGGAGGTATATAAGATCTAGCCTTTTGTATCCAGCTTACTTAGCGTCCTGTTTTCAGTGCTCATCTAAGTTGAAGGATGTATCAAAATTTCATTCATTTTCAATGCTGAATAATATCTGTTCCCTTGTGGATGGACAGTTGGGTTGTTTCTACCTTTGATTATTGGAATAATGCTATGAACCCTGGTGAGTGAGTTCCTATTTGAGTCTTTCTTTTAACTTTGCACCTAGGATTGGAGTTGGTGCATCATGTGGTAGTTGTGTGTTTAACTCTGGAAGAAGTGCCAACTGTTTTCCACAATGGCAACACCATTTTCCATTCCCAACATGCGAGGACCTTAACACCCCCACATCCTCTCCAACACTTGTTATTGGCCTTTAAATCCATACAAGTCTCTTAGTGGGTGTCTAATGGTGTCTCCTTGTGGTTTTCATAACTGTGTTTTAAAAGTAATTTCACCTCATTTGGGTTTTGCAACAGAAATTAGAAATCATAACATGTACTGAAGATATATTTATAATTCATTTTATTGCATACATTATCTTGTTTAAACTATTTTTGGTGTGAAAAATCTAAAATGCTCTTATGTTCTCATTTTTTAGAGGGTAAGTTTATTTTAGCTCATGCAGAGTCTCATTTTATGTATTAATTTTTTTTCCTGTTGTAAGTTTCAAGGTTTATCAAATGTTCTAAAAATGTTATTTATTTATTTCTTCATTTGTTTATTTGGACAGGGTCTCAGTACATAGTTTAAGCTGGTCCTGAACTCACTATGTAGCCCAGGCTGGGCTTGAACTCATGATGATCCTTCTGCCTCAGCCTCTCAAGTGCTGGGATTACAGGCATGTGGTACCACCCCCAGCTTTAAAAATAATTTTGTGCATAGCATTCAAAGATGTTTTCTATTTTTTTTTTTTTTTTTTTTGGTGCCAGGGATCAAACTTGGGACCTTGCGCTTGAGATGCAGGCAGCGGAACCACTGAGCTAAATGCCTGGCTCAAAGATGTTTTCTAGTTACAATTGTCATTATTTGTATCTTTTTGTTTTTTAAAGTTTTAATAAATTTTATTTTATCCCATCCCCCCTTATATCCCCTTCCCTCCAATTTGTATATTTTTGAACTAGTTCTGAGGTTGAGTAAATTCTTTTGATTCCCTCATTAAGTTACCCAGCATTCTATAGACATTAGGATCAAAGGTAAGAAATTGTTGAGCTGTGGTCTTTTCCTGAAATGCTTATAGTAAGTGGCAGACCTAATGGACTGATATGTACTGACATATTTGCTGTTGAATCTTAATTTTCTTTGAGTATAACCAACACATGTGGAGAGAGAGACCTTTCATGAACACTTGGTAAATAAATATTTGAGGGTCTGCTATGATGCTGCACTATGCCGGACCCTGGACACACACTGGTGACTAAATGGATTTCATGGCTTGTGGTTGATGTTTGCAGAGATAAGATAGTCCTGTTCTTGATGCCTTTTTGACTAACATCTCCCCCCTACACCCCACCGGGAATTGAACTCGGGACCTTGAGCTTGCCAGGGAGCTGCTGCACTGCTGAACTATATCCCGGCCTTTGACTAACATCTTCAAATATAGCTTTTTAAGAGTTATCATGGATAAATTTGGCCCAAGACTAAATTGTTGTGTTAGTTACTTTCCTCTCGTTGCTGAGACAAAATACCCAACACCCAAAGTTAAAGGGCAAGGTGTTTATTTGGCTTACAGTTCATAGAGGTTTCAGTCCATAATTGGCTGGCTCTGAGGCTGGGATGGCAAACAGGCATCACAGAGGAGAAACAACCCCAAGCACACACACAAGGCAGCAAAGGTAACAAGAGAGTTTAAAAGCATCTTTCTGCTCCTTTTATTTTATTCAGAGTACCATGATTAGGGCAGTGCCAAACTGATCACTCAGTAATAATCACATTGCCTTAATCTCAGCATCACACACTCCAGATTCAACTACCTCTGAAAAAGAAAGTCCCACCTCACCCACATGAGGCTTTGGGGGGACATCTAAACACAAACCATAACATGGGTACTTACTGAATTCAATCGTTATCCCCTTATCTTTGCCAAAAGAACATGAAAGAGCTCCCCAAAATAAGAGACTCAATTAAAAAGTGTGGACAACCAAAATGAATAGACACTTCTTAGAAGAAGTACAAAAGGCCAATAAATATTTGAAAAAATGTTCAACATCACTGGTCATTAGAGAAATGGAAATTAAAACTACAGTGATAATTTAACTTCTCCCTTTCCTATCCGTATTCCTTTTTATTTCTTTCTCTTGTCTAATTGCTCTGGGTAATGTTTCCAGAACTATATTGAACAGAAGTGGTGATAGTGGACATCCTTATCTTGTTCCTGATTTTAGAGTGAAAGCTTTCAGTTTCTGACCATTTAGTATAATGTTAGCTATTGGCTTGTCATAGGTGGCTTTTATCAGATTGAGATAAAGACTTTCTATTCCTATTTTCTGTAGCATTTTTATCATGAATAGGTATCAGCTATTCCCCTTCTTGGTATCTTCCCAAAAGAGTTAAAAGCATCATACCAGAGTGATATATGCACACCTATATTTATAGCAGCACAATTTGTAATAGTTAAATCTTGGAAACAGCCCAAATGCCCATCAACTGATGAATGGATAAAGAAAATGTGATTTTTATATACAACAGAGACTACTCTGCTATAAAGAAGGATAAAGTTGAGACATTTTTAGGTAAATGGGTACACTTTAGACCATACTTTTAAGTGGAATTAATCATACACATATGTTTAATCATCGCATTTTTCTCTCATGTGAGAAACTGAAAGTGTAAATAAGGACCAAAATGGATGCTAGAGGCCAACCTATTTGGGACCCCTCCTGTCTCTCAGGAGCTATTCTTATTCCCCATTCCTATTCCCCAGTAAATTTTTATACTCTTAAAAAAAAAACAAAAATGGATGATAGATATTGGGAAATAGGATGAAAATGTTTAAATAGGAAGGGGAACAAGGGAGGGGAAGGAGGAAGGAAAGGAAGGGGAAAAGGAATAGAAGGAAAAAATGGAAACAAAGCTGTTGTAAATAAGGAGGAGTAATTGGGTTGAATGGAGGGAAGGGGAATCAGGAAAAAAAGAAGAATCAGATATATTATGTACAGGTACAAATTCCCTAAGACAAATGTGATCATGATGTATATCAAAAGTGTACCAATAAAATTAATTTAAAAAACTATACTGAGATACCATCTTACCCCAGAAAGAATAGATATCATTTAAAAAATCTAATAATAACAAATACTGGCCAGGATGTAGGGGAAAAGGGAACTCTTGCTGGTAGGAATGTAAACTAGTACAACCACTGTGGAGATCAGTGTGGAGATTCCTTGAAAAAACTAAAAATAGAAATTCCATCTGACCCAGCCAGCTACCTCCTTCTAGGTATCTTTCAAAAAGAGTTAAAGTGATCATATTACAGGAATATGTATACGCAAGTTTATAACAGCACAATTCATAACAGCTAAATCTTGGAAGCAGCCTGTGTCTATGAACAGATGAATGGATGAGGAAAATGGGATATTTATACACAATGGAGTACTACTCTGCCAAAAAGAAAAACTTGAGAACTTAATGTTAAGTGAAATAAGTCAAACAAACAAGCTTAAATATCACATGGTTTCTCTTATATGATAAATTAATATATATATTATATATATATGCACACACACTTATACACACAATGATAACTTGGTTCATGCATGCTTTTGTTTGTAAACAGTTTGGTTTGCAAACAGAAGCATTTGACAAAATTTGTGAACTCTGTATCAGATAATGAAGACAGCTGTGGCCACCTTTTCCAGAATCATGGAACAAATTAAGTTCGTGAATCTATCTGTCTATCTATCTATCTATATAATATTTATATAAATATATATAGCAAAATAGAAGATAAGAAGTAGGGAAAAGTTCAAATAATTCCCCAACTTACCTTGTCTGTTGTTTCAAAAATATTTTAATATATATGCTAATTTGTTCCATTTATGCTCCTAGTTTCTCTAAGTTCACTGAAGAGAAAGTTTTGTACTATTATCTGTTTTTCTTTGTAAGAGCATCTTTTTTCTATACTTAGTACTCTGAGTAACTACTTTTAAGATTATGATACATGGTGTATCAACTGTTATTCTCTTGTTATGAATTTTGGGTTTTTTGTAAAATAAAAAGAGATACAAACGCTAAAGTTAATACACAGGAAAGTAAAACCAGGATCAAGAAGTAAGGAAGGTAGCAATATATTAACCTTAAATTGTATATGTTTGACACAATCATTATTTTGTGGTAACTGTGTTACTATGTTTGACATTTGATTGGGAACAATTAACTTTGATTTAAACAAGTAGGTGATCATTTATCTCATGTGGCAAGAGGCCTGGCTATGCAATCTGGGGCAGGGACAGTGACTCTGTGAGAAATCCAGTTCTTCATCTACCATGCTGTCCATGGCGTGCAGGCCTTGGTCCTCATACTGTGGCCTCATGGTCCCAAGATGGCCACTGCATGTGAGAGCAGGAAGAAAGGAGAAGAATGGATAGAAGGTGCTTTCTCCTACCTTCTTTTTTAATTCTGGAAGGAATACC